GACGCTGAAGGAAAGGTAACATTAGTTTCCCTTAAAGGGACGCAGTAACGAAACTAACCGTGCAGTCTGCTGGTAATATAAGAAGATACAACAACGCCAAATATTAATTATATACATTTAACTCATCTTTTTCCTTGGAAAAGTACTAAGATATTAATAAACTGGTCACGCGATGCACCGCGCAGACTACTCGCCCTTAACAGCCTGTTGCGAATCATGATTAATTCAGATGAGTCCATCCATTGCAGAATCCCATAACTTGACATTCACTGGCGAACCAACATTTGTCTCCCTGAATACTAACGCACAGTCAATATAATAGTTGGAGGGTGTTGAATTGGTCGGAGTGGGGTGGGGGTGGGGTTACCTGGGACATTAGGTATCCCAACTGCCTCCGGTGCTGTGTGGGTTGTATATGCAGCAGGCTGCTATCTGTGTGAATAAGCCAGGTGAACCGGCAACGAGGATTAATTACCGGAGGGGGGGGGGGTTAATGTGATTTCCCCTAGCACAATTCGTAATCAACAGCTTAATTTTGGATGATTGCTTAGTGCTGTTACATCATTGCTTTCAGGAAGCAATTTCGTGGAATAATGAAATACAAAACGTACATCGGGCAATCCAGTGTATCGCATACCGTGACCACGGAACTTGTGGGCTCAGTGGATAAATTAATCTATGGGCGGAAAATAATATCGGCTCCAAACTTAGTATTAAATTACAAACTAGAAAATAATTTGCGTTCTCTAACAAGTGAGAATATTGCATGCCTTCTTTTTTCCCCAAAAAAGGGACTCACATTTTAAGAACGTTTTAATTTACGTCATCACATCTCGCCACGGGCATGCGTATATGTATAACATTTTAAGTGTTATCCTATGCAAGTAGAGGTTTTGCAATAAACTACTCCTCCCACCAAATTCCAGCACACTAAGTGAAACAGAAACTTCTGTCTGTTAACTATAATAGAAGTAAGGAAATAACTAACAAAATCCATTCGAGAACATTATTTTTGAAGACGACAGTCGCTCAGCTAGGTTATAGATACGCCATTTTGTAAGTTAATTACAGTTCAAATTGTGGTATTTGGACTTCTAAGCGGGGTAATATTTCAGATTTATACTGACGTTTCGGTGAAACATTTTCCATGGTTCAACAAAAAAAAAAAAAAGCCAGAACCCTAATTCACATAGCCCTGAACAGCTCAAACCTTGCGTCCATTACCGTGAAAGCGACAGCCCACAACTGAACCCTGTCAGCGCCATATTAAACCTGTCCACAAAATAACATTCTGTACGATTCCATCTATGTCTGTGTCTTACAAGTGTTCTCTTTCCATTAGGTCTAAATAACGAAGTGGATAAGTTGTTTATACAGAAAGAAGAAAAGAGTATAGGGACCAGACAAACCTTACTGGCTACTTTTTATTT